GTCGCTACACGACGCAGCATGCTGTACGCGGGTTGGTTGCTTAACTAGTTGAGTTAAATCATAAAAAAGAACTATATCGGCTAAACATTTCACTGCATCTGAAGACGGTACAGGAAAATCAGTATCCCATATAACTGAAGGAATGTAAAAATCACCGCCAACTATTATATTACTGGGTCACCGTGGACCATGCAAAAAAATTCATTAAGCTTATCAAAGAATGCTTCGTCTGTGCCTGGGGGCGGCAAAAAGCGCCGACTATGAAGTTAAGATTGCCTGTGTCTACTTTCACGATTACGCACTCAAGATCTGGTATATCGGCTAATCTTTCAACTTGTAAGGTTCCCTTAAATATGATTGCAACTCCGCCGCCTCGACTACTCCTATCTTTGCGATAGATGCGGCAACCTTGGGGCATGATCTCGTCGTCACTAATGTCAGGTGTGAAGCCAGGTTTCAGGAATTGTCAAAAGATGAGGGTGATATATTAACCCAACACTGTATAAATCGTCGCGTAGAATAATACTACGGGCGTTAATATTTAGGCATCGGAAAAGTCCCCCGTTCTTGTCGTTTCATTTGTTACGAGTTCCTCTGGTAAGCGGTCTGCTCACAGAGACCATTCCACGCTGAACTTCATCTAATGTTAGCAATCGATTGTCAATCTTAATTTTGCCATGTACAAGTTTTACCTTTGTGCCCGATTTCCTAATATCTGAAGTGCTGTTCCAAAGAAACTTCCTGACGAGCCGAGTGCTTGCAGAGAAATCCTCCGAGGCTGAGATTCCCTTCTCTTTTAATTTGAAGCAACCTTTGCGAACGTTAACTTTTTCCCTGTGGTCGAAAAACTTCACGCACGATCACTGGACGGTTTTTACCATGCTGCCTTCGCCCTAGCCTATGAATTAGCTCGACTGAGTTTACGTTCACGTCTAAAGCATGCCTGAACACATCGCAAACTACGCTATCCATGAGGTCGTCAGAGGCATCATCATTCTTTTCCAGTATGCCGAACACAACAAGGTTGTTACACCTGCTTCTGTTCTCTAAATCAACGAGCTCACGTTCTAAGTCTTGAACCGTATTTTCCAGGCTGTTTTTTGCTGAATCCTTTAATTATCTGAGAAGTTTCCTCCACAGTTTTTAATTTCAGCTCGATATCACCAAGCCTTTTTTGGATGTTGTTTTGACCTTCAATCAACTGTGACAACAATTCCGCAGTGGAGGGTCCTGGATTGGATTCAACGTCCTCGTCTAGCAACAGTAGGGACAAAAACACTTGCTTAACATTACAATACAAAGTATACAAGCTACGTGAGCACATCAGCTGGAAGAGATAACGATTGCTAGTTTTAACAGATGATACTTCGTTATTAACCTGCACAAAGAAAAGAAGCGGCTTGAACATGATGCTACAAGATGACCAGCCGAGCTGCCCACTGAAGGAATCCGGGGATGGGGGGAGTCTTTTATTCACTTGAATTTATGTTGATGACGCTGCAAGCAGCGTTGCCAACCTTCGTCGATGATGGCTGACACTTGCGCGAAAGTAGCATCACGTTCTTCAATAACAAAGTTGGTCGCATCTTGATGTGCGCTGGCCATTGCTGTTGCACTGCACAGGAATATCTGCTCACACAAAAGAAGCGGCTTGAACATGGTGCTACAAGATGACCAGCAGACGTGCCCATTGGTAATAGGAACTAATACCAATGTCACCGTTAGCCCACCATGCCAGTCTGCTTCTACCAGAAACATTGCCTGAAGAGGAACTATTAACAATGTCACCCTTAGCCCACCATGCCTCCCAGCTCCTACCAGAAGCATTGCTGAAGAAAAACCATTACCAACGTCATTGTTAGCCCACCTTGCCGGTCAGCTCCTACCAGAAGCATTACTTGAAGATGAACTATTACCAATGTCGCTGTTAGCCCACTATGCCGTTCAGCTCCTCCCAGACACATTGCCAGAAGAGGAAGTATTAATAATATTGCCGTCAGCCCACCAAGCTTGTCAGCTCTTACCATAAGCATTGCCTGAAGTGGAACTATTACCAACGTCACTGTTAGGCCACTATGCCTTTCAACATGATTGATTTGTGCGCTTCGTCCCAAAACCACCATAAGATTATGAGAGACACCTTAGTGGAGGGCTCCGGAAATCTCGACCACCTGGGGCTCATTAACGTGCACCCGAATCTGAGCACACGGGCCTACAACATTTCTGCCTCCATCGGAAACGCAGCCGCCGCAGCCGGGATTTAATCCCGTGACCTGCGGGTCAGCAGCTGAGTACCTTAGCCACTAGACCACCATGGCAGGGCGTGCCCCTTAGCTTCTACCAGAAGCATTGCTGAAAGGGAACTATTACCAGCATTGTCGTTAGGCCACCTTGCCAGTCAGCTCCTACTGGAAGCAATGCCTGAAGATGAACTATTACCAACATCGCAGTTAGGCCACCATGCCTGTCAGCTTCTACCAAAAGCATTGCCTGAAGAGAAACTATGAACAGCGTCGTTGTTAGCCCACTTTGCCGATCAGCTCCTACCAGAAGCATTGCCTGAAGAGGAACTATTACCAACATCACTGTTAGACCACCATGCCTATTTCCTCCTACTAGAAGCATTGCCTGAATAGGAGCTATTACCAATGTTGCTGTTAGCAAACCATGCGTCCCCGCTACTACCAGAAACATTGCCTGAAGAGGAACTACTAACAACGTTGCCGTCAGCCCACCATGCCGGTCAGCTCTTAACAGAAGCATTGCCTGAAGTGGAATTATTACCAATGTTGCCGTTAGCCCACCATACCTCTCAGCTCTTACCAGAGGTATTGCCTGAAGAGGAACTATTACCAACATCGTCGTTAGCCTCACCATGCCTTTCAGCTCCAACCAGAAGAATTGCCTGAAGAGGAACTATTACCAATGTCGCGGTTAGCCCATCATGCCTGTCAGCTCCTACCACAACCATTCCAAAAAAACAACTATTATCAACGTTATCATCAGCCCACCATGCCTGTCAGCTCGTACCAGAAGCATTACCTGAAGAGGAGCTATTACCAACGTCGCCGTTAGCCCACTATGCATGTCAGCTCCTACTAGAAGCATTGGCAGAAGAGACAACTATTATAATGTTACCGTTAGCTCACCATGCCTCTCAGCTCCTACTAGACGCATTGCCTGAAGAGGAACTATTAAAAATGTCACTATTAGCCCAGCATGACTGCCCGCTTTTTCTAGAAGCATTAGCAGAAGAGACAACTATTATCAACATTGCCGTAAGCCCACCATGTTTCTGAGCTCCTGCCAGAAGCATTGCAGAAGCATTGACTGAAGAGGAACTATTACTAATGTCGTTGTTAGCCCACCATGCCTGTCAGGCACTATTAGAAGAATTGGCAGAAGAGACAACTATATAATGTTACTGTTAGCCCACCACATCTCTCAGCTCCTACCATAAGCATTCTTTACAGAAGAAACGTTACCAACATTGCCTTTAGTCCACCATGTGTGTCAGCTACTACTAGAAGCATTGGCAGGAGAAACAACTATTATCAACGTTACCCCTAGCCCAGCATGCCTATCAGATCCTACCAGAAACATTGGCTTTTAAGAAGTATTACCAATGTCGCTGTTAGCTCATCGTGCCTGTCAGCTCCTACCAGAAACATTGGCTGATCGGACAACTATTTCTAACGCTGCCGTTGGCCGAAGATCGTACCGTCAGCCAGCACTTTGTCACCTCATGCACCCATGTTTGAACAAAAGGTCGATCCAGCAACATAAGCGCTGCCCTACACCACTGCTGCGAAGCCCCTGTTTACAAGTAAAAAATAACGCAAGGTAGCGTGTTAATGTGGGTCATGCATAGCAGCTTTTCTCCTGCGTCGTCAACCATCTTGCTCGTGATTCAATCAACGCAATAGATTTCAACACAAGTCACCTTCTACTGTCGGGGGCACTTGCCGATGTACACCCAATCGCATGTTGAGACGCTCACCATCACAATGCTTTGATGCAAAAGTCAGACCAGATTTGCGGGTAACCGTCTAGAGTGTTACAGGGAACAGCCTCACCTGCCTGTTATTAGGGAAAGCTCCCATGCTCTACCCGTCTTCTGCGCCACTCCTAGCCCCGACCTATAGAGAAAAATTGAGCACCCGTTTGCCACACCGCCTCCTCGATCATGACTGTCAAATGGAGATACCTTTACTTTGACTCCACCTATAGATACCATGCAGTTGACTTTTCCAGCATGACTGCAGTGGCAAATGCAATGCCTAGTGGAGAAAAAATGCAATGATGGGACGTAGTTTGCCAAAATGGAATGTGATGTGCACTTCTCCTTCCCTGGCATGAGCGGGCGCATTGTAACAGGGCTACACGCGGGATGCGTGTGTGCGACTATTTTGCACGTGCTCCTAACGGCCAACATAAGCAATTTTGGGATGAGCTAATGCGAGGAACGCAGCTCCCTCTGGTCAGTGTACAGTGCCTATACGGCAGGCGGCCCCGTCGTATACTGGTGTGCCAACGCAGCGACGACAACGAAGTTGAGGGATACGTGCAAGCGGGAGCCATGAAATGAAAATTTGTTGATTTTTGTAATCCAGTGTAGCAGCATCGTTCTTCTGCTTTCAGATACACATGCATCCACTCTCATATCATTAACTTTTATATTGCGTCAATGGGTCACCCAGAGTACTTTCGTCCTTCCAAGACCGTTGCCTTTTTTTTTTTTTTTCTACCTAATATGCACATTAGGAGCAGGGCATGACAAACACTCTGCTAAAAGCAAGTAGTTGCTTCCCTCATGAAAAGAAATCTGCTGATTAAAATACTGGTATTCCTTCGGCAATTTCTCATTGCTTTAAAACATGATATTAACCTGTTTTGATTAAGATTCTATGTGACTAGTCAACAAGGTTTCTTCACATTGCGAACACAGTGAAAGGGGTTTCATGACAATGTGCATTGCGATTGCGGAGAAAACCACTAACCACGTCAGCCCCGTCGACGGTGCAGAGCTTCAGCGACTGAATGCGCGCCTCGAGTACCACGTTTATCATGGCGCACATCTCCGAGGGCACGATGTAGTCGGTCGTGTTCCACTTACTCTTTTTCTGCAGCTGCTGGAATGCCTGCAGCGTCCTGCACAATATTGAGCAAGCAAAATCCATTGAGGAATTATCGTCACTGCAGCCGCTTGGATGTTTGGATCACAACATGAATAGAGATGTACATAATATTTGTACGTATTATTATGCTATTACATAGTAGAACCATGACAGTAGTATTAGCAGTAATTACTATAGTGTTAATAGGTATCAGGGTTATTTAAGAGAACTGATTATATTTTACGAGTGACATGGAAAAGCTGAAAGTTAACATACAATAGCTGGAAACTACAGTGAGTAATCAGTAGTCATTATCACCACCCTGAGTATGAAGTGGCACAGTCAATCAAGTCATAATCAAGTAAAAGGACACAGGTAAAAGGTGTAGGCAGTTGATTGCATAATATGCTAGTAAAACAAATATTCTTGCTTAGCATTATAAAAGATAAAAACGTTTTAAAATGAATAGAGCACCAACAACAACGAAGTATCAATAGTAGAACATAGGAGAAAAGAAAACAACAAAAATTAAAATGGGCAGATTTCACTCATTATGGGACTCGGTTCCATGTGAAGCAATCAGCGGCCTATGCTGGATTTTTATTAGTCAATGTTACTCTGTGGATGGACGTCCTTGTGCAAGTTCAGTGGTTATGAGTTGAATGTAACGTAGCTGAAGTACAAGATACTGCTGTAACAAACACAGTTACAATCTTAAACATTATTGAACGCTCCAGCCATCCTTCGCCGCTAAAGATTACCGTTCAAGTTGGTCAAGTCAAGATTCCTTTCCTCAACACCAATGCGACCGTATCAAGAAGTATTTTTCGAGGACCAGACTAGTTGACTCGTACGTTGTTCTTCAAGACTATTCGAAAAAATGCATTCCCAACCTTGGATACTTCTCTACAAACATTCAGTACAATTATATCACTGCTGCTGTCACATTTTATGTGACAAAAGAGGGAATCCCGTCCTTATCCTAATTACCACACACATGCTCTTGGCTCTGCTCACACGTTCGGCCAGTGATGGGTCCGCGCTTGACCTTGTCAGCCCAGGTCAAAGGTAGACCCATCAGGATAAGGACACGATTCCGCTTTTTGGAGAAAATGGAGGGGACAGCACCAGGCTTTTTGTACTGCCGTTTCACTTACATGCCGAATTTTAGCAATAAAGCGTGGGAGAGCAGGAGCACTCAAAAACATGCTGAAATTTCTCTCTTCAGAGTGTTAGGACTGGGGTTAAAAAGATGCCTCTTCTAGCATGGTAGACGAAGAAAGTGCTTAACAGCGCAATTGACAGGAGGGGATAGCACTTTCTTCGTCTACCATGCAGCATGAACCAGCCCAATCAAGCACCTTGTTAAAGTCTCCTCTAGCAGTTGTTGCGGCTCGGGTCCAGTGGCTTTCGTCACAGGTTGCTGGCCCCCGCTACAAGACTCGTTTAGACCATATTTCATGAAGGAAGGCGCATTATGAGGGCCATATATTACAGATGTTTATTTACATAGAGGAGAAACCGGGAAGGGAGCTACATTATATCAATCTCGCGTCGAAAGCTCTAGGCCGCAAAATCTCTTGAACCAGCCCGGGATGGCGGGTTATAAAGGGTCATGTTTCTTCAGATTCATGGGTGAGGAAAAAGGCCCCAAACTACACTGTCTAACCCCAGGAAACACACCACCCGTCCACGTCAATGTCATTGACTCGGGCGAAGCAATCACACTTCACCTGTGGCACCACGATGCCCCTCGCTCAAGTGATGGGTCCCACGCATGTATTGACGCATCCAAGGGACTGCCGATTACCCCATTCAATTAGTGGGACGAGTTGTCATCCGTAGCGACGCCGCTGTTCCTTCAAGAAAAGATGTCACAATCAACATTGTGGTCGACTTGTCAAACACCATGCGATGGCGTACTGTAGAGTGCCTCAATTCCCGGCTCGGAAGTACAATATCTGAGCTGGAACGGCTTTCAGCAGCCCCCTCGGAGACTCTTTCAAAGAACAAGGAACCTCTCTCCCTTTTCGGCTCAAGCGCTGAACAACAAGAGCTAGTGTGTTTCAGTGGTCAAATAAGGGAAAGAGCACTGTCATCCATTGGTAGAGCGAGAGCGATTTAGCTGTGCTCAGTAGTGCTCGTACCTGAAAAGCGGAGTAGGCGCAGTCAATGAGTCACATGACTAGAGATCAGATTTAGAGGCACTAAAAAATCAGGTTTTAGGAGCCAAAAAAAGGCGGGCAAAAAACTGTTCTAGGCCCCCAAAATCGTAAATATAGGCACAATAAACTTTGACAAAATTTAAGTTTTCAAAGTAATACTTGTGGAATCTGTGTCTATGGCAGGAAAACAGACAGAAATGCTTTTGTTTATGGTGGTACAAAGGCACCAATGGTTTAGCATAGCCATATAATTTTTTCCCTTCGGGGTTCACAGAATACAGTCTTTCCTTTTCTAGTCCAGCATGGTGACTTAAGTATCCACCCTCAGAAGAACATGCTCCTAGCTCTCTTCACGGAGTGGTTGAGAAGGGCAACACAGGAGCGAATAGCTAGAGCGCTAATAGGGCAGAAGGGTTTTTTTACCTCGTATTAAATTGGTATAATCACAAAAAATCAATTTCTATTCTTTTATACTGTCTGTAAACACCTTAAAGGGATACTAAAGAGCAAAACAATTTTTCGTGGATTAGTAAAGTACAATTTCACAAACTAAAAACACTACTATTCCTATGATACGAAGCTTGGTAAGTGAAAAGAATGTGAGAAAAGAGAATACTAGTGGAGACGTCACCTTGAGATTCCCACAACAAACACCGTGACGTCTTAAACTTTGAAGGCATCTACCAAGTCCTACACAGCCTCTAATCGATAGAAATGATCGAAGTACATCATCACCTGTGGGTGACATAGACCTAGCATACAGAGTTTCAGAAAATTTAATCCAATGTCACAAAAATACAAAACATACATTTCAAAATTTGTTACGTCACGTGCAGAGATTTCAGCCCGAAATTTAGAAGAGAAAGTTCAAGCGTAATTTTTTTCTGCTAAAAATGGACTTATCACGATGAAACTTATGGCATCAGAGTTCTCAAAGTGCACTGTATTTATTTAAAACAAGTCATTGTTCCTCTTCATGTTCCTTTAAAGGGCCCTTCACCAGTTTGCAGGCAACAGGAATGCATGCACTGGGCACTCAAAATCTCAACTGCCAAGGTTTTGAATGCTACACACGCTGGAAAAAAGTGAAATGTCAGACCGAATGCCGCTTGACCTTCATCTCATGGGTGCGTACCCCAACGTGGTGGAGGTGACGTATACAACAAAGGATGGTCTTGTGTATATCAAAGCAGTACGTGACACTGTGAGAATTATTCGAGGCAACGTGTGCAATTTGTGCAGTCTGTTGTCTGAATAGAAGTATGAAGATTGACAGAAATATTAAAACATACGAACGGAATCTATGCACATCATTTTTTTCCTAACTTTGTATCGAGCGAGATGTGAGACTATGCTGCCTTCATTTCGTTTGCATTGGTGTTCTCACCATCTTCACATCGTGCTGGTGCCAGCATTCACAACGCTTGGCATGTTTGCACAGTCCCTTAGAGCAGTTCCGGCGGTGTAACGCTGCGTATCGTGGTAAGGATACATCATCCATGCTGGCCTCTCCAAATGTGCGCGCATAGAGAAATCTATCCCACAGAAACAGGCAGACAATACAGAGAACGTGGAAGCGACACAACACCGCTTGCGTGCATCACCTGGCATGGACATGTCATGCGAATGTAACCTTGCGTGCACATGTCTTGATGCGCCTGAGTCGTGTGACCTTCTAGCTTCGACTTGCTTCGATACCGAAGAGGGCAGGTAAGGAATTTTGCTTGTGAAGTCTACACCGAGCGAGTGGCAATGATTTCAAACTCGCCTCTTCGCGTCATGCTTTTGTGGGTTCTAATGAACCAATTAAAAAATTCTAGTATTTCAAAGCTTTCCATTGGACCCACAACAACTTCCGGTGTCGCATAAAAATTTCTCATGTGACGTACCTAGCAAAGTGCCATTCAAAAAGCAAATGACAAACAAAACAAAAACCCCCCAAGACAACTCCTTCGTTTTTTGTTTTGTTTTTCTACCTACACTCTACTTTTCCTTGATGACACTCCACGGTTTCGCATTCGTTCTTCATCATTCTGTGGTTGTGCAGAAGCACCTTCTATTTGCTCCATGCGAGCAGACGCAGCAGATGACGCAATACAGGTGAAAACATGTGTAAAGGCTGATCGGCCTTCCTATTGGCTAAAAGGCCTTGTAACTTTGACTGTGCTGAAAAAAACTTAAAAGGTGTAGTATAGGTTACACCTGATATAGAGTTCCAAAAGCTCAATTTTGTCCTGTAACAAATACCTGTCTTCAACTATACTCACTAGCGAAACTTGAAGTTAAATAGCATTCATATAGCCAACGATTTTAAGAATAGGCATTTAGAGTCACTTACAGAATTAAAAAGAGGTATTTAGAGGCACTATAAAAACGCTATAAAAGCTCTTGTTAACCTCTAATTCATGCTCATATATGAACACAGTGGCAGGACAGGAACAAAAGAAACAAAATGGCCATTTGCCTATAATCCGTTTGAAAGCTCTCCGGAGAGACGGGCCAGGTGGTGGTCACGAAAACTAGTGGTGCTGCAGTCTGATTTTGCTCCCGCGACCCGGGGCGTGCGTGTTGTGATCGGCGATATCGATGGCAAGGAGTTATTGCGAATGATGCACTGTATTCACACCTCATTTCTACGGCTGTTCTTGACACGGCATAGATTATTGCACGAAAACCCGTTTGTCTTATACGAAACGTACCGAAAAGAAACAGATTTATCTACGACGGTCTAGCAGACACACGATCGTAAGAAAATGTCCTCTCTAGTTTTGCGCATTACCCGTGACTTCATATATTATTATTATTATTATTATTATTATTATTATTATTATTAATACATGCAGCAGCAATGACAGATATAGCAGAGGTG